ATTTGATCAGTTGAGTTTGGCGTGACAGTGGCACGACTTTTGAAATGGGTCTTAGGGGCCCACGATCCTAATCTCCAGGACGTAATTACACATGCATCGCATGTATTACTATAGGAGGTGAATCACAACAGAATTCCCACCAGAACCCCTGCATGTGTGGGGTCTTGTTAGCCTGCCTACAGATCTTTCCTATGTCCTTTGTTGCATGCAGGCTACATGTAGGGTCTTATCAAAACCCCTAAATAAATCATTAGAACCATGAAAAAATGCTACACAAGTAGAGTAATGGAAAGCCACAGGATAGGATTTCGTCCATAGATTGAAAAGTTGAAATCACTATCAAGTATGACTGCACGGATCAGAATGGATTATTACTAAAGCAGGGAGACTTTCTCTGTGTATTGGTGTTAATCCAGGGTGAAATTATTTGAAACTGAGGTATCCAATCACTACATATACAGCAAGCAAACAATATAATATTCAACTTTTTTATTTGTTTTTATCTTGAGGCTGTGAATTATTCCTCCTGAAAGGAAAAAAGAAAACAAATGTCAGTTGTCTAAAAAGTTTATTAACCGTAAAGTTAATTTTAGAAGAAAAAAGAAAAGAAAATAGAGACATTAAAGGGTTTCACTTGAAGTCCCATGACATGAATTTCTCAAGTAACAGTGTGAATCATTTCTCTTTCACATTGGTCCTGGAAAGATTCCTTTTCTCACAAGCAATAACTTATTTTTTTATTATGGTTGGTTTTAGCCTGCACCTCAGTTGAAACTAAACTGTTCAAGTCCATCTGCCAAACAGAACCGAAATCCTTGTTCTGAGCCCCCACCTGTGTAGCAGGATTTGAGTAAGCGCCATGATTGGCCTATTAAACTGCCATTATTCACTGATTTGCCAATCAGGTTGAAAGGGTATTCGAAATGCATTTCTGGTAATTTGTTGAGTCTGTTGGGGGCCCAGAACAGGGATTTTGGTGCTGCCTCGCAGACGTTACCAACCGGGTTAACTTACGTTTTTTACCACTCATTTCAGTAGACGTTAGTGGGGCAGGAACAAGTGACGAACCACTAAGAACGTCTGCATGGGAGGCTAGTTAGAGTGCAGCACTGACTAATGACACAACATACCTCAATTTCTATTTGTCCATCATTGATCTTGTCAATGATATCGTGAGGAGGTTGTCCTTCTACGGTACAACCCACAGACTGGCATGTACCAAGGATCTCCTTTACAGTTCCCTCCAATTTACGAGCCATTGACCTTGGTCTCATGGTTCTTGCAATCTCTTTGATATTGTCAAGTGTTAGATTGCCACTGTGTTTGACTAAGGAGAACAAAACAATAAAATGCTAGTTAACTGAAGTACTTAAATAAGGGTTTGAACCTACTCACTGTTTTAACTGACCTCAACCTCATACCTTTTAACAGTGAAAGTGCAATAATATTATTTAATAATATAATATATTATATATTATATAATAATATTATTTATATAATAATATTATTTATTAGCCAATAACCGCAAACACAAACAAAGTACGAGTCTAGCTTTAACTAGGTAAGGTTGTTTTGTCTCGATATTATTGCCAACTAATTGGTTTTTACTAAAACAATTATTATTCCTCTCGCCCTCATGGCCTCCGGGTCAATAGCCCATTCAGGCTCAAGGAACAATTGTTAATTATTCCAAGGGCTTCATGATATAGAGGTTCATTGTATTTAAGTTCTACTGTATTACAGTGCAACCACACAAACCGAGGCTACCCAGACAAAAAATGGGACAAATCTTAAAATACACCACGTCAAGATCTAAAAAATGACATTGCACATAATTTTGTACTCAGAGCCAGTTCAAAATACATTGTGAACCAGTTTCCGAAAGGATATCATTTTTAAATAAGGAATCATGACATTTGTGTAAATCAAGCTGGAAAATGTTTTGCCAACGATTGGGTTGACCGGAATCAAAGCCAGCAGTAAAGAAATTTTGAACAATCTGAACTACAAAAAAAGGACAAGCCGCTCACCAAAAATCGTTTTCATTACTCGAAGAAATTTTGGGTTTTTCTGTTCCGTAAATCATCTTAGCAGACCTCCTAAGAAACAGATCTTCACTTGAACAAGGTTCAAAAGGTTACATGGTTTGTCATTGGTGGATTTCAATCCATTTTTGTTTGTTAAATGTGTTTCATTGGGTTCGTTGCTCAGTTTGGGGCAATCATCGACTAAATTGCTTCAAAGATTTTTTCTGATCTTTCTTGCTTTTGTCACTTGGACGAATAAAGTAATGTTTGCCTCCTTCGCTTGGCAAAAATTCCACTAACCATGGCAATTTCCTCCGCTATTCTTGAGCAGTCTAGAGTCAATCTTAGTTTTGTTTTTGCGGGTTAAGTTGGGCGAGTGTATTGCATTGTAATTTGCATTAACCTCCCCCTTATCTTTGCCATCACTGACACTGTGATTTACTCAGCACTCAGTGCTGTTTGCCGTGAAATGAGCAGCTGTAGCTTTAAGTCCAGATTGGTCAAAATTTCTTTACTCCTGGCTTTGAGTCCAGCCGACCCAGACATTGTCAAAACATTTTTCAGCTTGATATAGTTACGCAAATGTTGCGATTCCTTATTTTTTTATATTCTTGAAAAAATGGTTCACAACGTATTTTGAATTGGCTCTGAAATTATACAATTATGCACAATTTCATTGTTTAGATCTCAACTTGTGATTGGTTAATTTCAAAATTTGTCTCAAAATTTTGTCAGATTGGCCTCGGTTTGTGTGGTCGCACTCTGTAAGGAGTTTTTAAGCACTCAGCCTAGCTGCCTAATTAAGGTTATTCGGTTCTAGCCAAGTATTCTTTCTAGTAAAAAAAAGCAAAATCAGCTGGTGATTTCAATGATAAAACTACCTTTTTCTAAATTTTCTGACAATTACCAGTACACACTAGCCATTTAAAAGAATTAAGACCACTAAGCACTAAGAAATTCAAGTGATCACTCACTGTTCTTAACTTTCTTGCGATCTCTTGGGGGTTCCTTGAGAGCTCTGATGATCAATGATGATGCGCTTGGCACAACAGACACCTTAGCTTGTCTGTTCTGGATGGTCAACTGAACAGTGATACGCAATCCCTTCCAGTCCTGTGTTGCCTTGGCGATATCATCACCAACTTTCTTGGGGGACTAAAGTAGTTAAAATGTGCATAAAAATAGGTATAAATTGGATAGCACAAACTGACAGGTTGGTTTGGTCGTAGGATGATTCTCTTACGGTAATCATTTCTCAGAAGTTGCTTTTAGACGATAACGTGGGAAGATTTGTAACAAAGATTTTAATGTGGCTACACGTAATTTAGGTGAGGTTAAACATAAGACAATGCTGGCCAGTGGTCTCCACCACTAATTATATGTGGGGCGGTCTTGGCGTTTAGCAGGGCCCTAGTGATTTTACAGTGCTGTCGCAGAAGTCAATCATTTTGCTTACGTTGCCTTTGTGTGCAGTAGTTATAGTTGTTTTTTTGCCCCCAACCCTTCCTCCTCTCTGGATGCTCTTTTTAGTAAGTATCTGAACCTTTTTCAACTGAGGTTCTCAGTGTAATGGTGCCTGGTGGGTGCTACTCACAGGGTTGTCATGGTTACCTTCTAGGCTCGCTTGTGGCCCCCTTCTGTTTCATCAGGCACCTTCCCCACACCCATCTATTGTTGATGGGTTTAAAGGGCAATAATGACGGAACAAAACACTCTTCAAACAATGTTGCAATGTTGTAGTGGACTGAAAATTATCATTGGGAAAGAACTATGTATTAAGTTAAAGTTCTGGCCCCAGATGTTGAAAAGATGGATAGCGCTATCCAGCGGATAAATTTCTATCCAGTGGATAGTGCAATTGGTTTCCCTAATACTTATCCACTGGACGGTGATTTATCCAGTGGATAGGGCTATCCAGCTTTTGAACAACTGGGCCCTGGTAGAATTCAGTTTTTGCATGAAAGCAAAAACCTTAACAAGGCCATGGTTTGTGTTTTAGCTATAATTTGCCACAATGATGCAACCAGAACCATGATGTATGTTTTACCACAGTGAGAACAGATATGACAGGATAAAATGTAAAATATGACATCAAGGGTAGCTATGTTTTCTGGGGTGAAACCAAAGTGATCATGGATAATTTATTCTACACGTGTACATGACACAAACCTTGACCATTCTCACACTTCTTCTTTACGCTGACTTTTAACTCAATATATTATAAAATCAACAACAAAATATTCCTCACCAAACCAAGAGGACCGATCTTGGGGGCAAGGGCTGATGTAGCACCAACTTCACCGCCAGTGGCTCTCAAGTAAACTAACAGAAGCACGAGAAATATGACAAATTTTAAAAAGATGAGCAAAATCCTCAACAAAATTATCCGCTAAATTTCTCAAAGGTTAACCTACCAATTTTAATCTCGTTAGGATCGAACTTAGGAGGCATATTTTTAATGGATTGAGATGTGATTGAGGTCTGATGGCTGTGTGGATGAGTTCTTTACGACCCGACCAAATTCACTTTCAGACTGAATGTTGCACAGCCACCACGAAAAGAGGGAAGAGGCAGATCGAACATCCGGGATATTGGCAATAGGTCACGCAAAGAGGTCTGGGAATTTGTTAACGTGGTCTGCGGTAGTCCTTTAAGGCGTCTAAAAATTCCAAAACAGCTTGCAAATGTTGGATTAAACACATAGTTCGCTCTGTGTGATATTTTTCACCCACTGAAGCCTATAATTGAGATAATTTTGTTTACATTTGCCACTTGAGATATCACGGAAGGTCGCCAAAGTGTTTCAGAACGAGCGGTGGCTTTACAAGTCCCTAAAACAGGCGAAGGTAGGTCTCTAAAGTATTCGGACACCATATAAAACAATGTTCTGGTCTACTGAGTACAATTTTATTTAGAAAGGGCGTCTATATCTTCTCTCTAGATTCTTAAAGAAACTGCTGCGATTAGAAGATAATGACTCTGAATCTTGCCTTTGCGCTCGGTAAGTTTGGTGGTATTAAAGTTAGGTTGAAGTGGCCCAAGATGCATATCAGTCGACAGCTAGAGAGTACATGAAGCTCCTGATTGAAGTACACAGTGTTTATCAAAGAATCTTTGGTGGCTGTTTCAGAACTCATCTGTCTCTACTTAATTTTGTGTGTTAAATTGTAGAATACTCTGTCCCCCTTATTTCCCTCACAGACAAATAAAACTAAGGCCTCCTTTAAAAAAAAACTTTCAAATTTACTTCGTTCTGCAAAAACTGTATTCTAAGATCGTTTATTTTTTTGTTTCTTATCTTTCTTTTAAATCTGGAAATACCAGAAGTTTTAGCCCACTGTTGTTTTCAGTTATGGCAAGAGCCAAGTATTTAAGTACCTACAAGTTTTGCTTTGTTATTATTCTTTTAACTCCATGCGTGTATCTGTGTAGAGTTCAGGAGTTATAGAATGCAGTATAACAAGTAGTTCATCTCAAAGGTCTTTCGAAATGATTACTTCCCAGACATTAATCCATTAATTATTATTCCTATGTCAATTTAATTCACTTAAGAAAATCATTGGTCAAAATATGCTAACTTAATTTTCATAGTATGCAAGCTTAATCCCAGTGCAGTACATGGAGGTTCTTTCTGATATTGCACAACATTATTAATATCTTCTTTGCAGGGTTCCTTTTTTCCTGCTTTCAGTTAAGCAGGACATCCAATATTACCACAGGTGCTACTGTTGGAATATTTCTTCAAAAAGAGCTGATTGTCTCTGAATTTTTTCCAAGTGCTTGTAAGTTTTGTTGTCTATTTTAGAATAGTTTAGCTTAAGCAGTTTTTAAAGATTTTTTTAGTGATGTACGCAATAATTTTATAGTGAACTTTACTTTAAATTAAAAAATGTATGACTTAGTCCACATATCTCTGTAAATCATGTATTACCTTTAACCCTTTAAGCCACAATATCCACATACAAATTCTTTAGACTGATCTCCGTACATTTTACAAAGTATTATTTGGGGAATCTAGTTAAAGATCAAAGCATTTTCCCTTTTGTGTTCATGTCATAAATTCTCACAACATTTTCTCTTGAAAGTGTGTTGAGAAAATTCATGTTGGTCATTCTTAAAGGGATTAATATCTAATGTCACACTGTACATTTTTAGTGTAGTGATTTTCATAATAAACGTATGTTTCCATTTGGGAGACTAATGCCCGTATTTTTATATCTCATTCAGCTGGCCAGACAAAGGTAAAATTTATAGCCTCTAGGTTAGGATCACCAGATCTTCCTCCCTGGTTACAAATAGAGCAAGATGGGCCGAAAGATAGAGCCTTCATTTATGGCACTCCAGGACCTGAAGTCTCAAGTCAAATAGTTTTGGAGGTACAATGTAAAATAACCGCTTCATAGACCTTTAGCAAAAAGCACACAAATGACCCTTAAGAGTGAAAAGGATACAAGGATAATAGTTTAACAGAACCTGCTCACTGGATAGTAAGCCATCCAAGCCTTCATTTTAATCACAAAGCTTTGTGTGCCATTGAGCCAAGCATTCGTAGTTTAATTATGCCACTGAAAATTAACCAAAATGACTGGACTAGAAGACTTTCAAGATGTTTAAATTAACTTAGGAAGGCTTCACCCAATCACATCCATAGCTTAATGATCAGATTGGATGCTTGGATGGCTTGCATCCAGTGAGCCATTGCTTAGTGGTATCCAGGTATTTGACCAAGTTCTGCAAAGGGGGTATAAGTAAATGAGTCACAAATCCAACAACCAAAACACAACATTTTGTCCTTCCACAATTTGTTTGGTGTAATTGCTGGGTTTTTGTCACCCTTAAACGGTAGATGATGTAACTGTATCAATAGTTATTTATGGTTTTAGGTCACTGCATGGAACAAGGAGGATTACAACACATCAAGAAAAGAGATTGTTATTAGCATAGATAAATCCAAAGGTGTGTTTCATTTAGCATTACATGTGGTCTAGTGCTTTCCTTACAACATTGTTGTAGTTGGAGACATAACATATTCAAGTTTGACATTATATGAGCCTCAGTCTTTGTCAGACTTAATTGTAATTCGTTTGAAGGCTATAAAATTGAATCTTGAAAACATTTGATTATGTCATTGGATTCCCTAATGGGAGTGGCTTCCTTACTCAGGGATGTCATTAAGAGGCAGGGGCAGGGGATTTCCCCTGCTGGCTACTTTCATAGGAATTAAAATAGAAGAAACATAGCACTAAAAGAAATCCCTAGCTGTTTTATTCCCCGCCTACTTGTTGTATTTACCTGGCAACTTGAAATCTTAGTGACATCTCTGCTTACTGCACACGTCTGTTTGCATGTAGTATGTACAACTGTAACAGCTGGCCCTGTTGCGTGCTTCCTTATCCTCTGCTTCTTGTCTTGGTTAGTCTTAATTCTTCCATAATCAGTTAATGTGGGCCTTGGACTACAGTACATATCCCATAGTGTCTGAAATAACGATCAGTTCTCAATATGCCATTCAGGAATTCCACGATACCAAGCAGAATTCTTGATAAGAAACAGCAGCATTGATGAGTTTTTAGAGGGAAAAGGGACTGAAGACTTTGTTGAAAGAGTGAAAAAAGTCTGGCGACCCAGTGGAATAAGGGTAACATCAGTGGAATCAAAACTAAACAGGGCTGGAAGAGTACCAATTCCCCCACAGAAGGAAGGGTAAGTGAAGTCTTCTCTTGTTTGTTCATGTATTATATTTTGTCCACCTGTTTTTATAAAGGGTGGTTCAGAAAACTTATTTGAGAAGAAAAGGGTGAGGATTACTACATACAGCTGTAAACTCTTGCCTGCTTGAGAAATGGGCTCTGGTCAATACAGATTTCACTGAAAACATTTTAAATTTGTGTGCAATTAAAATAATATTATACTCTCTTATTTGGTTTGAAAATTTACAAGCCAGTTTAAATTTTGTTTCCCTTTGTCTTGTATTTTAAAGCCTTAATTGTTTTTGTAATTTGAACTCAAATAGATTGAAATTGATAAGCATTTCATTTCATTTCTTTTCATTTTATCGGTTAATTCAGAATTACCTTTTTTTCACTGCCTACAAATAGCAAAGGCTAGTCTAGGTGGGCAGTGTCTCTATAAAACAAAATATGTTCTCCAAATAGACTGTTGTGTTTTTCTATCTGTTAATGACTAGATTTCTCCCCATGCAGAATGCAGGCTATTAAAATTTAATTATCATTGTGATGCACACTGTGTAGAATGAAAAAGTAACTTAAGCCCATCGTTATTTGAGTGGTATTCTGTCTTGTTGGCAGTGTCTACATAACTGTTGGTGGTGATTCAACCTATAAAGCCTTGCAAAGTGATTACCAAGGTTGTGCTGGATTACGTTCTCAAGCAAACCAACATTTCTTGCCATATGATATTGACTGGTGCAAGTTTAGACTGGTAAGTCAATGATTTTTCTCTGCTCTCAACATCCTTGTGCAAATCAGCATTGCTGCAGTGAATGCACTCAACAAGTCGGGCTTGTAAACAGTATCCATTATACAGTTTAGGTCAGAGATAGGTGAAGAACACGGATGCAGTGCAGATGCATTTACCTATAATTGCATGAAATTTTGGCGACACTCTAATTTAGCGAATAAAATGCACCAAAATTAAGTGTCGCTAAATTTAAATCGTCACTTAATTAAAGTGAGTACAATATGAAATTCTGCCATCTGGTTAGTTTCACACACATATGCTATTTGATGGTCGGTACCTTAAATATGAGTGAGGACAGCATTAACATATGATATTACAGTTAGAGTTTCGTTTGTTAGTTCAAAATTAAGTGTCCAAATGTTACAATGATTTTGATTTTAATGAAGCTATTAATGATTATTGTTATTTTTATCACATAATCGTAAAAGTATTGAATACCTTAATTTGCCAAAGTTTCAGTTTGTGAAATCATGAAAATTAAGTGACTTATGTTCCAAAATTTACAAAAAATTGCTAAGTTAAAGTAGTGCTAAATAAGGATTTTATTTACGCACAAAAATTATACGCGAAAAGGTAAAAATTACACAACAGTGGAAATCTACCTTACTCAAACATTAATTAACCAAAAAACACTTTTAAGTGTTAAGGATTTTTCAAAATCGCTCAATTAATTGGTCGCCAAAATTTCATGTAATGAGGTATGCTCAGGGTAAAATCTTAATTTCTCAGGTTAAACCAGAGTTTCCTTTCTTTCCAATGAATAATTAGGGCTAGGAGGCAAAGGAAATTCTGAATCAAGCTATTGTAGGTTGAATGCTGATTTAACCTGAGATAAATTTTACCTACAACATATACATGTTGCAGGTCAAAATTAAATTCCTGTTAAAATTCTTTTAACCCAGGTTGATTCTCAGTTTCCTTTATCTCCTAGCCCTGATTATTCATGAATTTTAACCTGAATTTAATTTTGACCTTTAACATACAAATAACAGCAAACAAGCATTATGCATCAACTCAGGCTTTTCAGGCCTGGAAATGTTTTTTCCTTTATTGTCTGCCATCACAAGTTTACTTTGTCTGGCATTGTTGGACAAAACAAAAGAACACATTGGAGAGGTACAAGTCAACAACAACAACATTTGCATGTTTTGAAAACTCTTTTGGCCTAAAATTGCATGCTATCATGCTCTACGTAAGAAGTCAGATATAGTTACTAAAAATAATTCCTTTCAATTCAGATAATTATGCATTTTATGAGCTTTTTAGGAGATATACAGCTGTATAAAATTATATGTACTAAATAATGTTATTCAACTTGATTGCCCTTTTATGTACATTGCTATATGCATAACCTTAATATTCAGAGAATGTACATTGTAAAATGCTAACAAAAAACAATATTACATGGCATTATTAAAATACTGTAGTGATAATAAGGGATAATCGAACCATTAGTTTCTTTGCTCCTCCAATTTATTTACATTCTATTTACTTAACAGATGGATATGAGCAAAATGGCTGTGGTTGTTGGTAATGTCACCAAATCAGCACCCAGTGGAGAGGGTTTTGTAGAATCTAAATATGTAGCACCAGTGTATGACTCTTCTGCCAGAGATTTTGGCAGTGACTTTCTCCTAATATTGATTCTGCCGCTTCTTGTGGTCTTCGTCATTGCCATTATCCTTGGCATCATCTTCTTCTGCTTCCGTGAAGGAAGGTCAGTGCCTTGGCCTTATTTTGTAAGGGAGCTGTGCTTTTATTTTTAATTAATTACGGGGCTCTTTACATGGAGGGAGGAAGATGCCAGCACCAGGAAGATCCTGGAGGGCAGATCATCCAAGCACTGCATGTTTTCTGTATTCAGTTTGTATGCAAAGGGTTGTCAGAATGTTTTGAAGTAGATGGCTTAGTTGTCAAAGTAAGCGGCCAGTTCCAGAGCCTCTAGGGGGGTCTGGGGGCATATTCCCCCAGAAAATTTTTATATTTAGACGCTCTGAAATGCTGTTTTCTGTACTCTCCAGGCAATTTTCTCTCCAAAATTACTAAAAATCTAAAGTGAATTATAAGGTTAATTACCGAGTGTGGCATTAAATTTAACTGCAAGTGACACATAAATACTTGCTATAGTTTTCAGGAGATGTTTCTTTTCCAGTCCAGTGATATTTTAAAAAAAACGCAATCTGTAAAGAAATACTAATCAGAGTAGCTGGCTGAAACTAACCAAGTAGGCAGCAATTTTTGGCGGCAGCGGGTTAGTTTTGACGACCCTGGGTTGCACTTGTGCCTAGCGCTGGATTTTCCAAGCACTAGGATCTTCCCAGATGAGAAGTACATGTAGGAAGAGCCTAGTACCATGTAAACTGCTTTCACCAGGAAGATCCTTGTACTAGGGATTAACAAGACGAAAAAAAAGGTGGCAGGTTGTTCAGTGGATAACCATGGCATAAATGCTGTCAATTTCGTTTGGCCCCACCAGTTGTAAAGAACTGCCATTTCTTACTGAAAAATGTAGTTATTAACAGTAGTGAAGAAAGCAGAGGGGCCCAAATTGCATGTTTGTTATTGTCACCCATCATCTTACATGTAATTTCCTTTTCCGCTTGTTAATCACACGACATACAGGCTAAAATTTCTGCATGTAAACCCAACAAAAAGTTGTTTTGCTTTCTAGGGTCTTCCTCCCTCCCTGTAACCAGCCCCTAAATTTTAAGATTCATTCCTGGTCACCCCTTCTCTTCTACAGCCAAATATCTACAGTTTAAGCTCTCCAAGTGACCACTCTTGTAAGGGACCAGCTCTAGTTATGACCACCTTTGTAAACCCCAGTTTAAACTGTGATTTTAGCCTTGTAATAGAAAGCTCTCATAAACGACTGCTTCGGGAAGCGACTGCAACCACTTTTGGGATTACTCAATTCGACTTGTCCTTTGTTTTCAAGCTCTCTTAAGTTGCCAATTGAAGTCTTTGTCACATAAATCAACACTCTAATGAAACTGCACTTTGCACCAATGGTCTGAAAATTGGGCATAAAGTTTAGCCATGTCTATACCAGATAAAAAGACACTCATTAAACATTAATTTCTTTTATTTTTTCTTTATGAATTTATTATTAAAGAGTTTCAAAAGCTCTTGTAAGCAACCACCCTCTATTGTTTTACCATGGGGTAGCTTACAAGAGCTCATTCTCGTAGGCAACCAGCTCTAGTTACGACCACTTTTTCAAATTTCCAAGGTGGTTGCTTACAACAGCTTCAACTGTATTAAGCACAGCCACCCTTGGGGATGGGACAAGTGGCCTCTTAACCCTTTAAGCCCACTTAAAGAGGTAGTTGAGAGAATTTGATAAAAGATCAAAGCATTTTCTCTTAAGCAATCATTTCATTAATTCTCATAACCTTATATCTTGACAAGGTATGGATATCGTTAGGAGAAAATTGATCTTGGTCATCGTTGCGGCTTAAAGGGTTAATATTATTTTAGGTCCACGGTTGCTTTTGAAACAGGTTCTGTTTCAAGCGATTTACTGACAATAGTTTTCCATGTATGCTTAAATTGAATTTCTATTTTTGTACTACAATTTGTACTTAGGGTTACATTAACAGGTGTTTATAAATTGTACTTGGTTTGCTTTATATATGGGAATGTCCTTTGAAAACAGTTGAGTTTGTGCCAGGGTACAAGAAAGAACAGTTCATTGTAGCTTTGGAACCCTTCAGGAGATATTTTAAAATTGGTGTAATCCATAAGAGTTGTTCCTCATTGGTAATTGTTGATTAAATTACACAATGTAGCCTGTTTTATTTTACGTACTATTCTTTAGATTTTTATTTTTTCTTGATGTTCACTACGTATTTTTTTTAATATTTTATCAGGCCAAAGAGGGATGCTGAGACTTCAAGGTTTGTTCCTCATTCTTCTTCCTTTTTAACATTTACATGTACCTTATTCTCCTTAATTTTCGCGGGTTCTTAAATTCGCGATTTTCACGATTTTAAAAAATTCGCGCACTTTAAGATCTGCGAAAAATAACGACCGCGAACTTTGATCTCGCGAAATTTAATGGACATAGAAAAATCATGTATTTGTGTTTTCAAGGGTCCTAAACAATTTTTGACCCAAAGTGTTAGTACAAGGACGATAGTAGATAGTTGAAATCTACAATTAGTCACAGTTCTAAGCGGAGTTCAAGAAGAAGCCGTAGACTCATTAGTAGAAGCGTGTCAAGGAGGCTATGTAAGAAACATCAGTCGTCAAATTGACCATCCTCTCCCGGCTCCTTGTAATGTATAGTTACGAGTGCCATGTATCTTTCCATTATTGCCCTGTTCCTTGTTGTATCGTCCATTTCACATATCACCTCAACAGGGACAGCATATTGGTTTTGTTTCAATAGTTGATTAATGTAAAATTTTTGTAAAAAAGAAAAAATAAAGTCACTTAATCGTCAATTTCGTGAAATTACATTCCCTGCAAACACAATTTTTCTCAGCGATCGCGAAATTAAAGACTTGTGAAATGTGCCGAGAAAATTTTCGCGAAATTTAAGTCCCGCGAAAACAAAGGAGAATAAGGTAGAAGGTTTCCAGATGGTCATGTTAAGAACAAATAAAATAAAAATCAGTTTACAAGTTATTGCTCCATATGGTTTCTTTGTATCTAAAGCATTTATCTCAGATTTGTCTCATATTTTTTGTGTTCAGTAAATTAAATGGTTATATTATGGTAAAAAAAAACTGTCACGATAGTAATATATTTGTCCAGGATAAAGTGAATAAAGAAACAAATTTTTCAAATTGAACATATGCATTTAACTTGTTTAAAGACTCAACTGTAAGGATGCAAACCAGTTGGCTAAATACAAATGTGACCCAGGGGTTGAACTCAGCACCCCCAAAAACAAAATTTCTCCTTCTCAAGGCCAGAGAATATGAGGATTTAAGTCTCAGAGACTGCATGAAATCTTGAACACCAACCACTCAGCAATGATGCCTGAATAAACACATTTGAGTGTTCAAATTAATATGAGCAGATTTGATATATTAGTTGACCATTGATTTTTGTTTTAACATTTTTACTAGTTCCCAGTTGTCTCATCATGATTCAATATTACGGGCAACATTCCGGTTGCGTCAGCTGTCCCATCAGAATGGTGATGCTAGTCACAATGGTTCAGCTGGTCATGACCCTGGCCAGCCAAGAGAGTCCTCAACTCCTTACAAACAGTAAGGATTTTTCATTTACATGTAGTTTATTTGCTAATATGTACTACTCACCTAGACTGTTTGCTGTCCCCTATGTTTTGAAGGTCATCAAGATCAAGCACATTGTGCAACTTGTTGCCCTCTTGGAGATGTTAGTTAAATGGGAATGGGGAACAGGGAACGGGGAACAGGGAATGGGCAACAGGGAATGGGGAACAGAGAATGGGGAACGGGGAACGGGGAACAGGAAATGGAAGATGGGGAACAGGGAATGGAGAACAGGGAACTGGGAACAGCGAATGGGGAACAAGGAACGGTGAACAGGGAATGGGGAATGGGGAGTGAGGAACAGGAGGCATAAGGGAACAGGAAAATGAAAAATGAGAGGGTGTGTTATGTATATCTCTCTTTTATCTGCATAATAAAATATTCTTTACATCATACTCAGCCTTATTTCAAAAGCATTATTATTGGTTGATGCTTGGTTATTAACAGATTTCCACCACCAAGCCAACATGATGAGGAACCTGATGCCCCATTAGGAGCTCCCCCTCCATACCGCCTGCCTCCACAACCTGCTGTAAACATATCATCACCAGATGGAAACAATCAGTATTATCCAGGATCTGCTCAAGGTGACTGATGGCTTGGTAACTCAGTTGTGAGTAGGATTCTTTGATTTGTTAAGCCGCTGACTCAGCAGAGTGGAAAACAGGCTGGATAGCACTGGAGAATGCCACCAAAATGTTTGAAAGGCCCAAATAGTTATTGTTTTCAGTCTGTCTAGTACGCAAGATGAACGCAGCTGGAGGGAAATCTCATATTATAACCCTTTAATCCCTAACATCCACATACAAATTTCCCAGACTGAACCCCATACATTTCCCTAGAATTAGTTAAGAGAATTTGATAACAAATCAAAGCATTTTTTCCTTTGGTGTTCATTTATTTTCATAACCATTTCTCTTGACTGTGTAATGATGTCGTCTTAATAGGATAATTTTAATTAAAAAAAAGTCTCACATGATTAACTCGATGTCTGTCAAAAGAGGAACAGTGCCCCATTGATGAGTAGTTATTATATTAATGCATTAAATTTGTACTTTTTACTAAATTTTCGCAAGTTTCAAAATTAGAATAACAAGAATTAGGTTCTCCGAGAAAACTCACATTCCACAGCATCCATTTCAAACACAATCTCGCGTTCATGCGCAAGTCCATCAAATATGTCACGTGGAACAACAAGGCTAATGGTCAACACACTAGTTATAATAAACATTCTCATGCGCTACCTGTTTTCCACTTCTGTCACTGAGTATCTAACATAATCACCCCCATACGAGCTACATGTAACTACTAAACCAGTGCGCTTTATCTCTTTTCATTATCTTGTATCGGCGTGCAACCTAGTCACTTTGGCAGTCACTCATTTGAACACTTTTTGCCATTCACATCAGTACACAAAGTACTAACACTCAGCCAGGACATTGTGAGCAAACTGATCCATTGAATTTCCATCATTTGTAAAAGTTTCTATTTTTCTTTCTCGATACCAGTAAAAATCAAATCAACTTACTGCCAAACGCTATTAAAAGAGTGTATGGTGTAACCGTTCTCGTACGTTTCAGTTCAAATGGACAATTTCATTTCTGGATCAGTAAAAATGAAGAATCCGGATCGACGCAATAAGTTATAAAATCGCGTAAACGCAAAAGCAGATATCTTCGTTTACACATTAAACGAGAATTTTTTTTCTTGTATCTTTCAGGCAGATCAAGATACGAACGACCGCCTCCATTTATGAGTAGTGGCGATGTACACTGATTTTATCAGCATTTGGTGGGCTTCAGAGATGTGTTATTTTACACCCACATGTTTGAAGGGGTGCTTGATATTATAGAAGACCTTTTGTTACCGTATTTTTATATCTGACTGTAATAAACGTGAGGCACAAGTCTCTCGTACCAAAAGTGTAGGTTTGACAAGCGACTTGAGAGAAATCACAAGTGCCGTGTAAGCAAGACGCGGGTAAAGGGGCGTTGTACGTCATATATCCACTTTTCAGCGATAATGAGACACAGCATTAGATTACTGCTCTTTTCACAAACATGCGATTTCTAAAGTTCAAAAGCCGCCTTCACAATTGCGTTTTTCGCTGCCGTCAATCATAATTACGATCACAAGCAACGAACCTTGAAACACAGAAACACACAAAACGGATCGAAATCCACAAATCACAAACCCGTTAAAGTAAAGTTTTGTTTCCTTAGAGGTCCGTTAAGATAATTGACCGCAGCGAAAACCGCAATCGTCAGTTGGCTTTTGTGAAAAACGCAGTAACAACGCCTATTTTTTGAACTTTGTGATCTTTTATAAAAAGATCGGTATAAAAATTTCGCTAAATACCTGTCGTTTGGAGGGGTGACCCTCGCACTCTAATACAGTTGAAGCGCTAAGCTTTTCACCCACTGCTTTTCATATAAGTTGATGTAAATTCATGTTTGTTTTCTGCGGGTTTACATGTTAAGATAGTATAAATAACTTGTCTAAATAGCGAACTTTATGTCTACCAAATTTTGACCTGTGTTACACTCATTAAAAAAAAGTACAAGTTCACCCCGGAGAGAGCAGGGGCGTTGGCCTCCTGAGGTGACGTCAATCCGTCCAACATGAAATTGGCGGAAGGCTGCGACGAAAAAACGTGTCAGTTACAAAACAACGGCTAACCAGCTTCGCAGAAACAGAAAAAAAAATCAGAAGTTAGTCGAGCCACTAGTTTGGTTTTCATAACGCCTTCCCGCCAATCTCATATTGTACGGAATGACGTCACAATGCTGTATTTTGACAACCTTTGGAGGACGATTTCGATAGTAGCCTGTGTACAGCCGCCCCTCACCTCAAATTTCGCTCCTTTCCGATTTTTTTGAGGTGAGGGGCGGCTGTACAGAGGCTATTTCGATAGTAACGGGTGGACTTTCAAAGGTCAGGGAACGGTCGGGAACTGAACACGTTGTTGCGTTTTGGTTAGCGACTTTAAATTCGTAATTTTCTTCCCGGGTGCCCTTGTCCTTTCCGCATCGTTTTTACGCAGTAGTTGTAGTCCCTGTTTGTTTCCTTCATCCCAAACCATCTTGATGTCTCCATATTATGCTATTTCCCTTGAATTAGTATTTCTCTTTTACTGAACTAGCATTCTAAGGACCTTCAAGATAACTTTGTACTTTGTTAAGGGCTTTAAAGATCGTGACAGACGCCCTTTAAGTCGTCCACCTTTAGGTTACATTTTGGCGAGATTATTTGTCACTCCAACTTTTAAATCCGTGAACTAAGACCCTGTTTACATGGAGTGGGGGACCCCGGTCTAGTGAGGCAGGTTTCTTTTGTTTTGTGTCCCCCAGAGCGTGAAGACAAAAGAAACCAACCCCACTAGGTCGGGGTCTCCCACTCCATGTAAACAGGGTCTAAGTCCTGAATACTTTGTTGTTATCTTTCAAATGAAAACTTGCATAGTACTTATTGTTTCCTGGGATTTTACTGAAAGAATTTTTATGTTAAGTCATTACCAGGTGTGAAAGGCTTCAAATAATGTGTCTTCACTGACGCCAGGGTGTATGTTTTAAAAAGTACCTCTTTTATAAGATAAAGTATATAGGGAATTGGACCGAAGGTATACAGTGTAGTCAGTGTAACCGAGCGCAAAAGATAATAAAGTCAATATTTTGTAGTTTTATTGGATTCAAGGCTTTTTTTTGTCGTTAAGTGTCTAACAGTGCCAACAATAGCCTTATTAGCAACGTTTTACAGCAGAATTGTTTAACGCAGTTAATGGAGCGTCGCGCCGTTTAGTCAGTAATATATAACGCAACTTTGTGGTATTATGTGCTCTGTTCTCATTAGTATGGCATTTTATATTGTCTTATATTCGGTCACCAGTCTATCCATAAAGGATGTGCAAAATTTGGAAGATTCACTTTTGAGGTGTATTACTAAATTCTAAGGACTAGTTCGTCGTTTTAGTAAGTCCCACCCTTCCCTTCCTTTGGAAGTTTTAGACCCTGTTTACATGGAGTGGGGGACCCCGGTCTAGTGGGGTAGATTTCTTTTGTTTTGTGTCCCCCAGAGCGTGAAAACAAAAGAAACCAACCCCACCAGACCGGGGTCCCCCACTCCATGTAAACAGGCCCTTAGTGTTTTGCTGTTGTTATCAATAATATTACGCCGTTGTTACCGTTAAGATAATTTTACTTGAGCGATATATATATATATATTATATATATATATTTCTGTCCGCGTTCCATTAAGGGTGCTGGCCGAAGGTTTCAGCTCGTAGTTCCGTGGAGAGTTAGGTCGTAAGATTGATTTTGATCGATATTTCAGGGTGAAGAAGAAAGAGACGCTAAAAAGAGTTACAAGTACTTTTTAATTTTACAACGTAACACCACACGCAGTAATTCCACTTTTCGCAAACCCCACGTGTTCGCAAGAATGTTCGGGGCACTAAACTACCCCCTACTGCTCTGTGAGATAGTAAAAGAGGGTGCTGGTCGCCGATTGGTATGGCTTTCTTGGGTTGCGGAGGGCGGAACTGCAGTTGAATCTTACACAAACAAATTGTTCCTACCAGGGCCCTCTTAAGACCGGACTGTTTGAGAAAGGAAGGTGGAAGTTGCAGGCGGAAGTCTGGGAGACCTAGAGGAGACACTGATAAGGACATCAGGATCTCGAGCCAGTTCGCTGTCTTTTAGGGGCCGGTCATTATTTATCGCCTGGGGTGGGGGGGGGGGGAGAGGGCAGAGGATTTGGGGCTAAACAAGGTAAAATTTAGCCGATCCCCTCTTTGAATCTTACTTCACTGAAGTGATCCTCCCTTATAACTTTTGATGACTTTCGTGATCCCCCCATGCCTTCATTCTCCAAGCAAATTTGAGTGGCCCCCCTCTGAATCCTTCCAAAGTTTTCTGTGATACCCCCTTTGGGGTTCTCAGTTACGACTGATCCCCCCTTTTTCTCCTAAAAATCGTGTGATCCCGCTTATAATCCTCCGCCCCCTCAGGCGATAAATAATGATCGGTCCCTTAATTGTTAACTGTGACTTCGAGGGTTTACCACTGACGTCCACGGTAAAATGTTTGTCCAAGGGGAGGATCACCCGGGAGGTACCATCATGGACGCGTCAACGGAGGTCTGTGACTATCGTGCCGCTGCACATAAACGTGGGTAGCAGTATGGAGTTCAGGGAGAGGCAGGCATCATGGCTGCCATGCTGGTGTTGCATTGAACAACACAGTCTTGTGATAAACGAGAAAGCGTCCTCGATGGTAGGGGTGGAGGAGAAGTCTCCTGGCGGACAGGGTGTCGTTTCATAAACCAACCCCGCCGATGTGCAGGACAGGCCTTCTTTGAGGGGCTTGTGATCTGTGTTGTTATGGAAGTTCCATGGGAGATAAGTTTCCCTTGTCCCTCAATGAAAAACTCAAGTACGGCGCCTATAGCATGTAAGAGGACAGATACCACTGGCACTAATAGTATGGCTTAAAAAGGCCACTTCGGCTTTTCCATGTTTGCACAAAGGCAAAGTCAAGGTCACAACATACGTCATCAATAAGCCGCTGAAAGGTTTGAGGGGCATTTCGTAAACCAAAAGGCGTGCGGCTAAACTCGTACAGACCAAACGGAGTGACAATGTCCGTCTTTGTGATGTCCTCAGTAAGAGAGAATGGGTGGTAGGCGTGCACTAAGTCAGTCTTAGAAAAAACTGTTTTTACCAGCCAAATCGAAGGCAAAATCCTGGGCTTCATAATTGAGGGGCAAATGCAAATGTCGCAAACGCAATTGTCACACAAGAATATTCGGGGCAAGATGCTGGTCGGAAGCAAAGTGCCGTGGAGAGTTTGGCCTTAACGTATGACTTTTGCGATGACGCGGAACTACCGCCGGGGAGATAAATAAGGCTTTCTGGTCATACCTCTTGATGTTGTGTTTTATTATACTTTGTAATCTTTAATTTAGCCAAAGTAACAGCGACTTTGCCACGCATTCACATAGAAAACCACATCGTGGTCTAAAGAAGCTTGCAACTTAAGGAAATGTGGGAGTGCACCTACACAATTTCTTGATGGAGATAAGTGCATGAAAAGAGAGACCTACATACTTTGTAAAATGCTAACTTTTTGACATCGCTTTGCACAAAGCATGAGTGGTATGTCAGACTGAAGTTTGTAGAGGTAGTATATTTTTTAAACATTTAAAAGGGACATTTATATTCGTTAAATCTTCTGTGTTTTAAGCGTTCAACGTTCTTATAACAGAATTAACCAAAGTCTCTCTAATCTGCAAACTTTTTAGAAATGATTGTGAATAGAGATTCGCCCATTTGAAGACGAACGATCTGCTTGCATCCTTGTAATCCCATGGGTTATCCCCGAACTACCTTTTTTGCCCTGCAGAACCTTTTCATCAAGTGTGTTTGCAAAGTAGCAATTGACACTGAATAACACTTATCAAAACAATGTTATTTTTAAATAAGCGCGATTTTAATATCGGGTTGAGCTATATGCATTCGCTCTATTCAAAGGAAAGCCATATTTTTAGAATGGTAACTACATGTTGTTACTTTTTACGGCCACCTCTTTGAGAAATTTAGAAAATGTTTGCCAGAAGCGGCGTTTTAAGAAAAGGATCGCCCTTTATCTGGTTCAAATATAAGAAATTCCGTGGGCACTGCCCCACACGACAATAATCATGGACCTTTTGAAGAGCACTTCAAGTGTTTTTGTTATTTCGTGTTTATAGCTCGATGTCTCGATCTAGTCTCGACTTTTAAAAGACCCGTTCATAGTGTTGTAAAGGTTTTGACAGGTCGCGGCTACGACGTTCTTTAGAGGAGGCCATCTTACAAAAAACGAGGAGGAAAGAACGTAGTTACATTCTCCTCAACTTTTGTCGTAGATCATTTATGGCTCGCTGTTGTTCCGCTTTTCGTTCTTTAGCCTGATCTATCTGAGCTTGAAGATCTCTTTGCTGTCGCAGGTGTCGTCGTTTCTCAGCTGCAGACCGCTCTCTCGCGGCAGCAATCGCTGCCTCTGCTTCCTCTCTTTGTAATCGCATTTTCTCTTCCATAAGTTCTTTTAGCCTTCTCTCTTCTTCCACATGTTTTTCTTCCAAATCAGCCATCTAAAAAATGACATTTTATACTAACTATACCTCCTTGAGAACCAGATACGTGCCTCAATCGTTCAGTGGCCGGTGTTGTGGCATTTACAGTTAACGAGGGGTTCGTATTTTGACTTTTCTATGACAAGGTAATGGGCTACCAAACCAAGTATCACTTTCAGAACCCAGATCTGAAAACGGGTATGAATTGTAGAGGATAAGTCTGAAAATGGGTTTGGACAATGACATTTTATGGTCTGAGTCAGGGTCAGGATTGAGGAACCGGGCGACATACCCCAACCAAGAATTCCTAAGAGTAAGGTGGTCAAGAGGGTAAATACCAATAGGATCCCGCCAATATTTCAGGGTCATGTAGTGTTCATATTCATTTTATTTATATGAATTATTTTTACGCGCAAACCCTATCTGTCCGGCATGATGAGCAACAACAGACGGAAGCATTATGAAGGGGCCAGAGGAAGTTTGCTAGTACTTACCATGCGGTCCATATCTTCTTTGCTGGCTTGTAAGCGCGCGTTGTCATTCTAACAAGAAATTTGAACACGTAATCAGGATACTTGTTAGTTAAGTACTCTGAAGTAATTTCTAAATTTCTTCACTTCTCCCGCACCAGAGGTCACTTTCCGCGCTCCTGAGTGTATCGCCTTCTCTGTTTATTCTCCAAAAAAACCGAACACCTATAATGACACTTACTCTGATCCTCTCCGCTTCCTCGGCCTCCGCTTCTTTTATAGCCCTTTCTGTAGCAATCTCTTCATAATATTCCCTTCTCTGATTTAGTTGATTAAGATGTTCCTTCATCTCCTCGCTGTGTTGCTGAGGGTAAAAAAAAAGACGTCTGAGAGGGGATTTTAATTCAGACGTACATTGGAACAATGGCAGTCGAGACGCAATTTTAAAAAAGTCATTGTTCATAGTCTGTGGTCTATATTAGTGTCTATTCATAATTTTAATTTTTTGATTCTAGCATCCTAACAAGGATGAAACAGTAATCCATGGCTGCATGCCAGTTCTGGGGTGGTGAAAGCCAGTTGTTTTAAAGGTGTAACGCTTGAATTTACCAATGCAAGTCAAATGGACTTTGCACTCTTTTGTTTTCACTGTTTACTTCTTCTCCGCCTATTTTAAAGGTACTAGTTAAGGACATGATCCTTTCGTTTAAATCCTGGTGGGGCAAGGTCGCTCGGATGGCCCTACACTTTTGTTAACAAGTATAACATTCAGTGTCCGCAGAAATCGGTAACTCCTGAGTGGGAGCCACGACAGTTCTCAGCAAGCGTATGAAGATAGGATCAGCTAAACAAATCGGTGTGTCCAAAAATTAGTAAACAAGAGCAAATTCAGCAAGGGAGCACACACTACCAATTTCGCAACATGGCAATATGGCCTTACGTATGCGCACAGCCATATGACTCCGGGCAGTGACAACAATGGATCATTTCTGGCGCCTTCACGTAGCGAATTTAAAACAGAGAGACAGAAACTCGAGTTGGCAATATTTCTATATATCTTTTGGGTGTCCGCAGTTGACATCCGACGTCAAGGTGCATTTTAAGGTTGCCAAGCAACACGACTTTAAGTGCGAATGATAGCAAATGCTGTGAGCACTATCATGTTTTATTCGTGAACAAAACGGGCTGACGTCTTTATTCATCGTCTGTCAAACAACGTTTCCATTGGGGAATCGCGACCAATTTATCAGGCTGGAAATCCTCGCCAGGGAAGATTTACCATCGAAACTCCAATGCAGCGAGAACGGCAACTTGAAATCCAGCGCGAGCAACGAAGAAGAAGACGAGCGCGTACATCGATCGGCCGTTAAGCCCGAGAGTGAATAAACACGGAAATAAAGCGAAGTTGCTTTGAAACTGTACTCGTTTAAACTAATGTTCCTCAAATCTATCTTTGAATTCATGATAAATAGAGCACCACAAGTATGCTTCAATTAATAATTGTATTAATATTACGATGTGTATTGTCCAGTGGCAGCGTGGCCCAGAGGTCTGAAAGCTGACTTCTTGCGCAGGACTGGAGGTAGTCATGGCGAATCTAGACGTAACTATTTTCGTTTTCTTTGTACATTTTTTATCCGTTTAGTTTTCTTTTTATCATATTTTCAGTTCCCTTTGGCTTGGTTCCCTTTACTTTCACTGCTGAGCCTTTACAGCTTCGCGAGGTTTTTGCGATAACGTATTTCTAGTTTACTAAACCTACCAGGTCATACATGTAAGCCAAGTTGGAGCACAGAGATTTTGGTCCCGGCGCCTCTTTCCTGAAGTCACTGTCAAGTTTGATATACGCTGATCTCAGACGCGACTCTAACATCATGAAGTCATTGTTATCACCATCTTGGAGATCCTTCAATACAGGCTCTAACCACAGCGAACGTAGAGTTTTCATCAAATTGTCGCATTCCTCCTCCGTTTTAGAGTTGTTCTTTCGTAAAAATGCACTCTCTGCTTGGTCTGCGTGGTTCTAGACAAAAAAAATCGAGAATTAAATCAGTCGTGTATGTTTTTCCACCAGAAATCTTCACAAAGGGGTTCGCTTCACAGACAATCACCGAATAGTTTAGTGGTCACCTTGCATGCGAGCATTCTTCTCAGAACAGTTGCGTTGTCTCCAGTATAATTTTACCACTTGTCACTAGCGCCACAGTTGTACCATTTCCACTAACGCTATTTCTTTTAATAATGGTAATAGGATTGAGTGAGGCATCTTATCGATGAAAAGTTAAGATTTCTAGATATTTTCTGCAACAATAATTTATCTTCTGTCCCCTCCAAATCTTAGCGAAAAAAAACGAGTATCACGAGTAAGATTATAGATCTGACTGGAGGACATCACTAGTATGATTACAGACCGACTTGGACAAACTCGAGAGCTGTCGATTTGCTTAGACATGACGCGCACCCCGGGACGCGTACATTGCCCTATTGATGCCGAAATCAGGGCTAAAGCTTAGCTACTGATAGTCAATGAAGTTAGAGAATTTTGTAACAGTTATGATTAACTGGGATAGCAATAGGTATGTGATAAACAGGTTTGTTCATCTACATGAAAGACTCATGAAGTGTAAGCATACCGCCAATTCTTCTATGTAAATCCATCTTGCAGTAACATCGATGTCCTCCGTGTAACTTTCGAAGAACGACAATGCTTCCAGCAAATGATCCTCGTGATGTTGGCGAATTTTTCTGTCGTCACAAGGAAGGCCCGTTCGTTGTATGAATTCTGACATTCCACCACTGAAAGTTGAAACCAAGAAACGGAAGAGTTTGCTTATCATTTGCTGGGAGCTTTCTACTGCGTCACGCGTCATTCATCTCCACAACGGCCACCTTGGGGACAGACGAAAGTGGCCGTTGTAGAGAGGTTTAAACAAGAGTCAAAGTATGGACTGTCCACCGGGGCAAAAAAAGGTGGCTGTTGTAATGAGGTGGCCGTTGTGGAGAGTTGGCCCCATGAGTAGATGTTCGACTGTATTCTTGCAGAAACTAACTCAATATCACACCATCGGTGTCATTCCATGAGGCTTTACTACCTTCCTCTCACATTGTACAACGGACTGCCTGAATATCAAGTGGCAACGCTTTTCTGCGATATATATAGTGCATCACTGATGCCTCCGCTGTTATTAGGGTACAAAAAGGAGGGTGACTTTAATCAATGTAGTGTCCTAAATGTTTTCACTATGATATTGCAGCTGTATGATTGAATTGCGAAGCACGATTCGTGTTGTAAGCCAGCATATCAGGCGTATAAAACAACTATGGGGTGTGAGGCAAGCGATACTCGCGACAAAGACGAACGACTGAACGAGGCGAATCTGTCCAATCATTTCGCCCCATAGCTCCCATACGCCTATTGCCCAAGCTATACGTCAGGGCAACGTTTTCCAGGAACACGTAACGTGCGACCAAGTTGTTAGCCTGCGAAGCGCAGACGTATTTCCGGTCGTCGCCTCTCTCCCCCGGAGGGAGGGAGAGAAGCGACGACCGGATATACGTATACCGCCTAAAGAGGCATTGACTATACGTAAACGTTTGAGGTATAATTCACTCACTCGTAAACGGCTTTAGCATTTTCGAGAGCCTCGGTACACTTGTTCGTCGTAAAAGTATCCCACGCACTTTGGACAACAGGTACTGCTCCAGGGGAGTTCACCGTGCGAACATACTCTTCGAACAATGTTGCCAAGGCTACAAACAGCCAAGAGAAGAAACATTAAAGTATAAATACAATAGTTCGCAAAATCCCTGTAAAGCAAGCTTTTAATATGTGAGAGAAAGTACCTCCTTAAGACTTGTTTTATTCTGCTGGTATTCGAAGACACCGTCAAGTAACGATTCCTTGAGAGACAAAGGCACTGTTCTACCCTCGTTAGCCTATAGCCGTTTCTTCAGGCAATCTACCCGTAGTGACTTTGGCTACAAAAAAGGGTAATTTACAGTACACGGAAACAGTGCATCTTAAGGTCTCATGAATGTGGTAAATTTCTACCCGACACCTCAGGCTAATCGTGTAGAAAGGACTAAACAAACGGTTAAAGGAAAGCTTAGTAGCTGGGATTATTTTATTCATTAAGAAGGTGACATTTTGTGGCCCGTACTGCCTCCTTCCCGGCGGGGCGTAGTGGACGAGCGGTTAACACCTCGAACTTCAGATCTGGAGTTCCGGGTCCGGTTTTAGGCCTTGCCGTCACGTTGTTTCCTTACAAGTAACTCTGATCCACTTTCTGTCTCTCTCCACCTGGGTGTATAAAAGGGTGTGCCGGCGACATACTGCTGGGGTTAACCCATCCAGAGGGAGTAGTAGCAATGCTCTTAGTCGTCACAATGCTACATGCTATGGGAACTGGAATAACCTCTGGCCTGATTGGTCGGCCACTTGGCTCGTATCATGACCCAGACTTTGCCTACCTATTGCTTCGTTCTCGGGCTGTTAAGCGGTGCGTATGGTGTTTTGGGAAGGATGTTTGTTCTTTATTTTCCGCATAGTGGTGCCCGGAAACTACCCACGGCTACGCCTTTAGACCTGTACCCAAAACCAAAAACCAAGCATGATCTTATCAGGTGAATTCAGGCTGCCCCGATGTAATAGCAAGCTTTGGACTAACCTTCGCCAGTGACAAGTCCCGGTCCACCATATCTCTTTTTCGGGCACAACTTCTTCAATAGCATCTGCTTGAAATTCTGAACCCCCTCCTTAAAAGCCGAGTTTATCTGGCCCTGTGCTCTCGCATCAGTTAACTTTTTCATGACTTCAGCATCTGCCGATGGTGGGGAGAGGGGAAAAGCATCAAAGTCTGGGAAATACTTAAGGATGTTATCCACCACTTTTTGAGATTTGCCACTTGGACGACCACCGACTTTAAAAACCTGTCGGGGAGATATGCAGTAAATTTTAAGGGAAAAAAATAACACATTGGTTTTTAATATTGTAAACAAGTTTCAGGGTTAACGTAACTGAAAAAAGTAAGTTTGTTAAACTCAGCTCAAATTAAACTGCAACTGGGACCCTCTAGTCTTCATGTAGAGTAGTTTATTTTCGCAGCATGTCTTGAAATCACAACAGGATTTATAACAACGAAACAAAAGACGGAA